GGCGGTGGTTGTTTTCTCCCCAGCAACTGCTGCGGATTCCTCGCAGGCGCGTGCTGACAGTGCAGCACTCATGGCCTAAGCTGGGAGATCGCAGCTGTTGGGGCTGACCTCCTCAAAAAGACAAGGCAGGGAAGAAGAAAGAGCAGGAAGGAGTGTATGTTTGTGCTGGGCCTCAGCCTCGCCAGAGCTTGAATTCCACTTGCGCTGTCCTTTGGAGGCGGTGGCCGTGCACTGGGAGAGGATTAATCTGTTCTGGGGTGCAGGCAGTAGTAGCTGCTGCACAGAGTGATATGGAGTCATGAAACCTTCGTCACAGTGTGAGGAAATGGATTCTTGAATGTATATGTCTTGTATATGTGTTCAGGAGTGCCCTTGCTGGTGGCGGCTGTTATCGCCCAAAAGAGAGCCAGGTGTGAGCTGAGGGTCATTAGAGGGTCATCTGCATCAAAAATATCTCTACCATGTAGAGACGGTCACTTTTTAACTTTGTAAAAGTATTTCTGCGGTAGTATAATTTCCCTTTTTAAAGCTGTACAATGCTGTGCTTAATCACTGTGGTGAATCAACTTCTAAAGTGCCTTCTGTATCAACACTATATTTGGGAGTTAAAACTGTTTGCTCCTATACATTTTGAAAACTGCTGTTTTTCCTTCCCTGAATAATGTTTTGTTTCCCTTATAGACATACAGCCAAGGTATTGAACTAGCCTGCCAAAAAGAAAAGGAGTTTGTGAAGCACTCTGTGGAATGCACCTGGAATCTAGCAGAAGCCCAGCAGAAACTCGGTAGTTTAGTACTGCATAGTTCGGAATCTGTGGACCAGGAATTTGCCCAAGCAAAGACTGAAGTTTCTGAGTTGAGACGGAGGGAGGAAGAGTGGAGAAGAAAAGAAGAAGCACTAAACCAGAGGGAAGGACAAAATCTATGGAATACAGATTCTGTTAGCAAGGAGGTATTTAATAAGGTATGACCTGTATCCAGAGGCGAGACAACAAGTATTAGCCTAATTTCTCATTTCACTTGTTTAATTCGAGACTAGTTCACTGGTTTGAGACAATAGTGTCTCAATTATCTTCATGTCTAGTGCAGTGCTTAATCAGAGCTGTGTTATGTGGGTATTTTTCTTCTTTTTGCCCAAGAATGGGAGCAAGCTGCACTATTATTACAAATCTGGATGACTTTCTTAAGCGAGGATCAGAACTTGCATTGGTTCTGAATAGCAACAGTTGCCCAGGGGAGGCTGAACAATAGTTTCTTCACATAACCAGACTGCTCCTCAGCTGTGCCAAACTCTCAAACATGAAAGAGGAGTACAGTTTGCTTCCAGTAACCTGACTGCTGCAGTGCAGCTTATTTAGCACAAATGCTGTCTTGAGTACAACCTGAGCTTTGTTGTCGGATTAATTTGAGTCTGAGCAATTAGTACGTCTTTTATCATATGTCCTTGACACAGCTGCACCAAGGCTACCATGTAGAGGGTATTCATAGTTCACAGATCAGTAAGTTGCTACCTGAAAGCAGAATTCTGCCAGTTTCTTGATTGCCATAATATAATAAGAATTTGAAACTCTATCAGCCAATGTACTTTTAAAAACAAACAAAAAAACCCCCACTTGGCAGGTATATGACCTGACTGTAAACTTAGAACACTACTATTTAATAGCAATGTAATAAAACAGAATATTCCTTTCTAGCAAAAAAGTATGTCTGGAGATCCTGTGATAGTTAACTTTTGTCTTTCTTAGAGTTTTATTAATCAAAAAAGGAAAGAAATTGAAGATGAAGATGCACCTGAATCATTTGTGCAGAAACATGAACAAAAGATTAAACACTTCGGTGAGTGCACTTTTCCCAATGCTTTACAGTTTAACCTTATGCAGTTTTGTGTAGGTTTGATCCATATTATTATATAAAATGAATGATAGCAAATTAAACTAGTTGCCTGTCATGATGTGATAAAATAGAAGCTAGACTGTCTGATAGCCTGTTTAAAGTGAAACAAAGTATAAACTACAGAAACCTGTTAGCTCCTGTGACCTGTAAGAACTTAACTATTTTTTTTAATAAGAATATTTAAAAGAGCTGAACTACTGAAAACTGAAGTTTAGCATTTTTTTTTTTTTGCTGTTCAGTGGGAAAGGGCAGAGACATCCATGGAAACAGAAGAGCTGTGTAAAAGTGCTTTGGGTTGTCTGTAGCCATCATCTCTAAATACACACCTTTTTCTGGTAGATAATTAAGCTCTAAGGAGAATGACCAATGAGAGGAGATTTGATCAACATGTTTAAGTAGCTGAGGGGTGATTGTAGGGAGGATGGGGCCACGCTCTTCTCCGTGGTGGCCGGTGACAGGATAAGGGGTAATGTGTACAAGTTGAAACACAGGGAGTTCCATCTCCATATGAGGAAGAACTTCTTTCCTGTGAGGGTGACAGAGCCCTGGAACAGGCTGCCCAGAGAGGCTGTGGAGTCTCCTTCTCTGGAGATCTTCCAAACCCACCTGGATGCCACCCTGTGCCATGTGCTCTGGGTGTCCCTGCTGGAGCAGGGAGGTTGGACCAGATGATCTCTGGAGGTCTCTTCCAACCTCAACCATTCTGGGAGTCTATAAATCCTGACTTATAAAAGTTTGTAAGCTGCTATTAAAGAGTATGCATGGATGAAACTTTCTTGAAGTTCTAGTTAACTCTCCACTAGGTGTCACTTTATCATTATTTAAACAAGTTGAGCAGAACTCAGACCTTGTAAAGGAATCTGAAATTTTGATGGTTCTGTTAAGTGCTTTCCATTCCTGATTAGGGGGTAGAAATGTTGCTAATGTTGAAGCATAGCCGTGTTAGGAATTCCAGGGTACTCAAGAACAGGACTGACCTAACAAAAGCTCCTTGCACAACCGCTTTTAATTCACTACTTCTCTTTACGGATATTAAACTTTTTTATTAAAGAAAGGGTTTTTGGCCCTGGGGGTTAAAGGCAAGCCTTGCAAATATTAAGTGAGACACAGCATTGGCAGAGCATACAGCAGCAGTGACAGGCACAGAAATGTACTGACAGTATAATCGGGAGGCTTCTATGGTGTTGTACATTTCAGCAGAAAAATTTGCCCCTGACCCCCACCCCCATCTCTGAAATTCAAAGACACGTTGGTTAGTTCTTTTTACGATGGAGGTAAAACAACACTAATGATCTTATTGTGTTCCGCCAAAGGCTGGCATAGACTCTGCTCGCTGTAGAGCCTGAACTTCATTTCTCAATCCTACTCTGGCATTCAAGCAGTAAAGAATCTGACTAAACAGCCAAAAGAAGTATTAGCCAGTGCTTTCTCTTTAGGTATTTGTTTGCTAGAATTAAAATTAGCTTAGGTCACTGCCACTGAATTATCTTTATCCCTGTTATATTTATATGCTGGTAGAAGGGTAAAGCTCTATATTTGGTACTT